GTTTTGAGACGCCCTTCCACTGGCCTTCAAATTTGCTTTCATTTACGAGATGGGCATTAACGATGTAAATTTACGTATTGTAAAAACTAGAATGATAAAAACTTACTAAATTGATTTTCAGTAGATGCTGGACAAAAGTAATTTTTAAATTTCATCCCCAACATTAACTGGCTCATCTCGATATGTATCGTAAAAAGATGTAAATTCCATGATATTGCAAAGTTCTTACTTGGTTCAGGACGGCGTCGTCACGATATCGTGATGCATTTATACCTAAATTAAAAAATTATCATGATTTTTATCGCAAATCAGACAAAAAGTTTGAAGATCGTCTGATATAAAAAATATAACTCGGTACTCACAGCAGTGAGTGACAGGGAGCGCATTTTCTCGACGAAAACTTGAGGTCACGGACGAACGGACGGACAGACAGACGGACATGGCGAGCACAATAGTGCATTTTTTCCATAAATGAGAAAATGCGCTAAGAACGTAACGCAGATGGCTGGCAGTCACTGTCAGTTTGTCGACTTTTCTCGACGGACCAAACGAGTTCAACACATTATCAAAGATTGTAGGTTTAAGAACATAGCCCGCAATTCTCTTGATGCACTACGTCCAGAAAAGGCAATAAATTTGATTGGGCTTGCAGCAGCTATTACTCTCACGTCACCAGCATGACCACAGCATCAGCTTCTTCAATAGACTGACGTCTGAAAATTTACAGTTCCCGCAAATGAACGCTTGGGGTCCAGTTCCACCATCAATCTATGGAGCTCTAAAATCTCATCGGTGATCAAATTTCTGGCAGGAGCAAGAAAAATAAAAGATTTCGGACGACCATAGTAGGCGATTCGAGTAAAGAAAAAGTAAAGGTCAAATAATTCATGAGAAGTGAAACAAAATGTAAGCCAAGCGATGAATGGGGAACGTTAATTAATAATAAATTATTAAGTTGAAATGCAAGCCAGGCGATAAATTGGGAACGTCAATAATTATTAAATTAAAATGCAACCAGCCCATAAATTAGGAACGTTAATTATTCTTACAATATCGGCGGAGCTGGGGGGTCTGGCATTTACAGAACTTAAAGTAAAGCTTCGGGAATATCAAACCACAGCAGTTGAGAACCAGAGAAAATTCCACGGAGTTCTAAGTTTGAGAGGCTCGGAATAATTATTGAAAGTTGAACCAGACGATAAGTTCCCCTGACGTTTGAAAACTTTATGAGCCCCGTAACTCAGCGACCAGATGAAAACTCATGAATTTTACGAGGTCTCGTGAATGCCACGAGTAATAAGTCGGTCCAACAAGCACAGGACTTAAATAGTTAGTTAGAGATAAGAAGTGACCGCTTAAAACAAATCTGAGCAGGCCAGCTGCCCCATTTATAATAAGAAGGAAACTTTTTTCCTTTAGAACTCATCGCCTTGAGTCAAAAACTTAATTAGCTTGGAATACTTTAGCAGTTATAAGTTGCACGGGCTCAGTATGTGATTATTATTTAATTATTAGCCGCATCTCGAATACATTTTATGGGGAAACGAACGAGCTTCCTTTGCCCTAGCAATAATTAAGTGAAAGGATTACCTACTGAACTTTTTAGGTTTCAAACCCCATTCAGAGCCCAACAGATCATATCTACACCGAGCACTAAATATTGCAACAAGAAGTTCGGATTAGTTTAGTAGCGCTTGTGATAAAGTGAAACTATTAGAAATTGTGTTGTACCAAGACTTTCTCACTCAATACTCAAACATATTTCCATGCTGAGAATTAAATGCAACACATACAAGCACTCATAACCTCCCGGAAAGTCCGAACAAGTTCGAAAAGATCGTGTGGCCCAGTAGGGCCCCATCGTGTGGGCCAGGCAGGACTCATCGTGTAGGCCACACGGGCTTCGTTTAAGCGCAGAAATTGAATGGCCGCAGCCAAGTTCCTTTGACGACTTCAAGCACAAATTTCATGAGGTTTGCCGCCACGAGAATTTAGAAAGAAATTCAAAAGAAGGCTTTACGACGCATTGTTCGTGAGGGCGGGGGTGGTCTAGTTGGGTGCCCGTGCCATTTCTGAGTCATACAATTCCCGAAATTTCTCATCCGCACCGTATGTCTCACTATAGATATGTTGAATATGATAGTGATTTTCTCAATATTTGAACGATAAATAGAAATAGGCTTTGTTTCCATAGCCACTTATAGTTGCAGAAAATTACAGTCAACGATGTTACATGCTATGATACTACGCCCCGGAATAATCAAAATAGCGGGAGCCTATACATGGAAATCGACGCTGATCTCTACCAGGAGTGACAAATACTACTACGAGCGACTTCCAAATGAATTTATTTCAGAGCACAGAAATTTGCATAAATTACGTTGAAAATATTAAGAGAGTCTGAAAACGATTTTATGTCAACTGAATAATACTACAGACTAACGCTAACTAGCGGCAAATATACGAAAAAGAGCGTCGTTTAATTTTCGTCGACTCCCAATTATTACCGTCTACTTCGGAGATGCGACTTGTCAACATTTTTCGACAGCATGCACGTGAATAAGTTTATTTAGTTCAAGTACGGACTTCCGAGGTACCGCTGTCGCACAATCATTAGTTAATTATAGAGTATTTCATTATTATATAATTAATTAGTTAATTATAGAGTATTTCATTATTATATAACTAGATATTTATAGAGTATTTTAAAGATGACCACTCATGCTAGTTAGCAAGGAGAAAATCCATTTATTTTTTTCTTACACTCATAAAAAACGGAGTTGAAGTAACAAAATCTTGGTAATTCAATAGATAAGTCCTTAAAACGAAACTTCAACTAAAATTGCAAAGATGATAAGATTATTTCAAACGCTTACAATACAATCTTCGCAGAAGGGGTTTCTCTGCAGGAACTCAACTGTGTTTCAAAATATTCCCCAGTAAAAACCAGCTGAAAACATCTCAGTAACCTATCGCACGAACGAAGTTAAGTGAGACTATGAAGCCTGCAGGGCCAGACTGCAAAAGATTATACATGCATGAACCTGAGACTTGATCGAGCTTTTGAGACCCGAGATAGCGAAGCCCCGGCGCTCGACGCTATATCCGCCACAACCTGATTGGCTTGCGTAGCTATGTTGACCGTGAACGCTAAACCTTATTTCAAAATGTCTAATAATGTATCATCAATTCCAACAATCGAGTTCTGACAATTAAAATCCTAAAATGGGTACTAGTTTGTGCATAAAAAGTTACGAGTAGAGCCGACATCCCAAGTATAAAGAATTTGATTCAGCTAGTAAATGGTGTAATGGATTGCGTTGAAACAGAGGCATAATCTATAGCGTTTAATATACCAACAATCACGCGAGTCTCATTACCATCATTAGTGAGGCATGCCATCAGAGGAGACGCGGTCGTTAAGTTGCATTGCGTTGCAACGCACGTGTCGGCCACGACGTGCCGCCACCACTTGTTCTCCAGACTTCTTTTCATCTCCAGATCCATTCACAGGATCTGGAGATGAGAAGAACCCGAGCGCCTCAAAATATCACGCATGAAGAATCAGAAACTTCGTACATGAAAAGCCGTGCCCGTTTAGGCCGCGCACGACCGTATCGTGTTCGTTAACAAAACAGCCGTGATTAAAGCCGACTAAGAATAATCGCAAGATGATCCAAGCTCAGTGATGGCTTCTCTTAGCACGACTCGAGCCGTCCATTGAGGCGCCATGTGGTGAACAGAATACCGACCCTTGCTCGTCTCCCGCAACGATCAATCAACGTATTTCCGATCAATGGCAGGGTATGATCTTAAAAAACTGTAGGTCGAACTAATGATTAATGGTCCGGCAAAATGAATGGTAAAATCGATTTAAGAAATGGTAAAATTTAGGTTGGACTTACATAAATGATTGCGCAAGTCCAAATAATGAAAAAAATATGAAATGGGAAATGGAAAATCCTAAAAGGTGAAAGTTTTACCCTTTTTCCTGACAAGACAATGCGCTAGAATGATTCAAACCATTAGTCACCACATGCTAAAATAATATATTAAAATATCACGATTAATTCTACTACTGTGGACTACTTTAAGTAGATGTATTTCTTGGAATAATCTTCATGAGCGTCTATCCCGGTTTTGTAAGCTTCCCAGGATGTATTTACACCGCATGCCACATGCACTTGGGATTACATCACACTCTAGTCCTCAAAGTGTTAAGATAAAATTGAGTAAGACTGATTATATCAATGGTAGAAATACATTTTATGTACTAATTTCCGTTCAATGAATAAATAAAATAGTTTTCATCTAAAGTTCATAAAAGAATGCGGCAATGACACGATGCAGAACATATACAAACCAAATTTCCTATTTTGATTTAGCTCCGTCACAAAATTTAGGTCGAAGTTTATTTAAGATGAACATCATAATAGATTTGGATTCTCATGACGAAATTCACGACACAAAAGAACGTAATTACGCAACTCACAGCTCGGGGGGTCTGTGAAGGTTGTTAGAACAGAGATTTTACAGAGATTAAGTACAATCTCTTCAACGGATCATGCAGCCTGCCTTATTGAGTTAATAGCAATAAATAAAATATTTGATATATGAAAACTACATTTCATTGAGCGGAATTTCTGTAGATGAGAAGGCTTAGCCTTTAAGCAAACACCTATAACGCGCCATGCATACTGGAACATGTTGGTCGGTAACTTTAGTTACCAGACGACAACTTTAGGCGCCAGGTAGCAAATTTAGGTACCAGACGGCAACTTTAGTTACAGGATGACAACTTTAGTTACCAGACGGTAACTTCACTTACCAGACGGAAACTTCAGTCACAAGACGGTAACTTAAGTTACACGACTGCCACTTTACTTGTCGTGCATCATCTCGAGTTATCAGGCAGTAACTTTAGCTACCAGAACTTAGGTACAGCATTGACGGCAGTGGAAGTAACCGTAAATAAAAGCTTAAGAAGTCAATACACTCACCGAAGAAGGCCAGCATGGCAGTTCTGTTCCTGGCAGAAGGCAGGCCGTCGCTACCCTTCATGAAGGCCTGCGACAAGACGCGAGGAGAAGGCCGGTCTTGCCCAGCCATCATGTATACGCCGTCAGCGTAACTCGCTGGCGTCTTGCGCGTCAGCACCGACTCTGCGTGGCGTAAACGATACATCCATGATTAGTCTTGGATCCATGCTAGTTTATATAGAGATTTTAAAACTCATTGACACTATTACTGTACCTCTTATCAGAAAGCTTGAGAGATTAAACTCAAAAGAAGTTCTCAATAAAACTGGCATTATTTTTAACCAAACATGTTATATAGAGATATAGATACACATTTTAGATCACATACACACATTAAATATTCATTTGTTCCACACAACGTTACTAATGACACGTTAGCTATGGTGGAGTAATTTAGTTTTCCGTCGTTCGTAGATAAACAGTATCGCGATGATAACGAACTTCCAATTTTCTCAAATTTGAGTTAAAAATAAGTACAGAAGAAATGATTAGTGAACAATTAGAATTCTAACGAATATCATAACTACTCACAACTATCATGTATAGTGTATCGCAATTAGGACACGTACGCACTATTCTCTCATAAATTCATGCAGTTGCTACATAATTTAAAACGTGTAAAATGGATAATAAAATCGTATAAAGTTCTCTTATATGAGATTAAGGTTTGATGTAGAGGCGCTAGCGGTGGAGCGGGACACAGCCGAACAACTGCGTGACCAGGAAGTTCAGACGCCTGGAACTGACCGTTCATCCCGTCACTGATGGTCCATACGACGTAAACAACGCGCCGCTGCAGACAGCATTTATGTTTATTGTGACGCACTCGGCATGATAAACGGGACTCTAAGTACAAATACGGTTCAGTGATGGAATGCCACTGAACGATTACTGCACAAATTACACTAAAAAATTCAGAATTTCGAGCTGAATTTACGAGTAGTTTTATTATCACCTCTTATTTTATCTACTCATTTTTCATTATATGGAATGAATTCTCGCGACTGATGCACTCGGAGGCGCTGGTGCAGATCGGGCCGTGCCTAATTCGACAACTGCGATACGCATTCATGGAAAATCTTGGACACGTTATCGGCGTCCAAGTCCTGGCCGATGATTACCCGAACATTATTCTGCTGTTGGGCCGCAGGAAAATAGAAGATATATAGAAAAAAGATAAATGGAAACTGCAGATCATGCAAGATGAAGAGATCACAAGGAAGAATGTCCAGTTCCTGCTTGAGAGCAAACATGACTTGCGGTATTAGCGAATCAAAAATAAAAGTCAAGGTGAAGAGTATTACTGACAGTTCAATTTCATAGGCATGGTCTTTGCAAATCACCACGCCACTTGCATGACATGGTATGGAGTGTGATACGTTATATTAAAAAAAATAAATAAATGAAACTCTCCTTTACACATTTACACTGCAACATAATTGTTTTTATTTCGCAAATAAAAATACTTTCGCATATGAATACAGTTAATAAGCGATAGATTTTAATGGAGTTACTCACGTCATTCATTTGAAAAATCTTCAAAATTCATCGGTACGCCCTAACTCAGGTTTTGGTTATCAAACCACCAAGATAGCTTCATAAAAAATAGATTAACACACGGAATAACTGCGTAAATCGTCTTCCAAAATATTTTGTCATCAATAGGATATTCAATGTGAATCTGCTATTATAAGGATGATTATCAGGATGGATACCCATCTATGAAAAGGACATTTAAGTGGAATACCCTATGCAGAATATGTACGGTATCCAATATGGATGGTAGTCACCACTTCGTCCTGAGGCTATTAGTCTGCCCATGCCAGGTTAACCTCCGTGACTCACCTTCCGGATAAAGTAACCCTCTAAAGTAACCCTCTAAATAAACCTTCTAAAGTAACCCTTTAAAGTAACCGTCAAATGTAATCCTCAATAACCCTTCTCGTGCACCGCGGCTGCCGATATAACGCGCAGAAGAAACCCATTCAGGAAGACGTTCAGGGAAAAAATTCACTTTTGCGAGTGCAGTTGCCTTGAAGAATGCAAACCGTTATCCAAGGCTAAAAAAATACAATCATTCGGAATCAAGATTCAAGAAATGAGTAAACTTAGAAAATATTGGGAAACTCTTTCCATGCGGATAGATGCTAAAAATTATCCAGTCTTCTTCGTAAGAAGTTTTTCCTGCGCAAAGTCTGGAAAAAAATCAAGTATTGAGGCTCACATGATTATAATTTGCTGATATTTCTTCGACTTGCGGTAGCCTGGAACAGTCATTGGGCCAGAGACTGGAACAGTCATTGGGACCAGAGACTGGAACAGTCATTGGGACCAGAGACTGGAACAGTCATTGGGACCTGAGACTGGAACAGTCATTGGGACCTGAAACTGGAACAATCATTGGGCCAGAGACTGGAACAGTCATTGGGACCTGAGACTGGAGCAGTCATTGGGACCTGAGACTGGAACAGTCGTTGGGACCTGAGGCTGGAGCAGTCATTGGGATCTGAGACTGGAACAGTCACTGGGACCTAAGACCGGAACAATCATTGGGACCTGAGACTGGAACAGTCATTGGGACCTGAGACTGGAGCAGTCATCGAGACCCTATACTGGAACAGTTATTGAGACCCTATACTGGAACAGTTATTGAGACCCTATACTGGAACAGTTATTGAGACCCGATACTACTGGAACAGTCATCGAGACCCTATACTGGAACAATCATTGTGACCTGAGACTGTTATCACAGTTCTATTACTGAGGAGCTTGCATGCATGAGGTCCTAGGACAAGCAACAGATTACGTCCAGCTGGCCATCAGAGGCCGGATGCGGGTAATCGAAGGTCGCTACACGGCAACGCTTGTGTTAGACGGAGATATTAAGTGCTACCTGACTAATAACATTATTAGTTCTACTTGAACTTGAGGAGGAGGATTCGTTGACTAAGTTTGTCAGGGATAAGTATAAGACACTTCTCCCTATAGAACTTATTTGGATACGGGGTGGTAATACATGAGTGATACAATACAGGTATAGGCTAAGACGTCGACCGTTAGATCGGAGAAACTCCAACGAGTGTTACATCGCGGCGTGCTAGTTAGTTTCTGGGGGGCCTTATTAAGATGCCCAGCCCTTTTATAGACTTATGACTTCCGTCCCCAAGTTCTTGTCCTCGTGTCACATATGCAGTAAAATCTGTCGACTCAGCGTCTTAGGCAAGCTCTCAGTGTCGCAGTGGACTCAGAGGTAACTAGAACTGCTGGTGAATACATGAGGATTTGTATCCACAAACTACTCGTGGACACTTGGCCCAAACGCGAATCTGGGGCCAACCACTGCATGTTAAGGGGACCGACTACCCTAAAATTTTCAATTTTGGCGTTTTCCGGTTTTTGTGCTCATCTGAAAGCTGGAATTCTGCTCTTTCCAATGGTACCACTGCCATCGCTGTACGCCAATATTTACGTTCATGACGTCTCTCTAAAGGGAAGCGGGTGGGAGAGTTCTTTAACTAATTAGATACAAAGTAATTGGCTGCTGAAATCTTTGAATATAGTTTCTACTTGAGTTGTGCTGCAGTTACATGCTTAGTCTCATCTTAAAGCTGACATTCTCAGCTTTCCAACGATACTACTGCGATCCATGTACGGCAATATTGATGCACACAGCCGGGCTTTAACGGGGGGCGGGGGTGGAGTTCCTTCAGTAAATAGACCTAAGAAAATTACAGCGGCAAGACTACATATATTGGTGTATCTGGCATCTGAGCTCAGTCACCCTCCTAACTTTGTACGGAGAGGTGCGCTACAAGTTGCTGCTTTAGGTCGATAGATATGGTCTTTACGAATCGAATGATATGTGTCTGGATGTTGTAGGACGATATTTGTAGGAGGAGATAGATTTTCTATAGTACCCGTTTTTGTCCGTTTTCTATGAATATCACGTTTTCTATCAATTTTTTTCGAAAAATTCATATGGGCAAAATGTTCTTATTACAACACTTCTCTTTAACTTCACTTCTTGTTTGTCTGTCTGTCTGCTACAAATCTTGTAATCAAAATTTAATACACTTCTACTTATCCTATTGATCTGAAATTTTGCACACTTGTTTAAAGTTGGAGACAATGCATGAATCAAATGTCAAAATAAATGATTTATAGAATTAATTTTTTTTTTAAATATTAAAAAAATTGAAAAAATAATTTTGTCAGCTACAAATCTTATAACTGATATTTGACACACTTTTACCTGTCTAATTGATCTGAAATTTTGCACACTTGTGTGAAGTCAGAGGCAATGCATGAATCAATTAACAGAATAAATAATTTTGAAAAAATTTTATATATTAAAAAATGTATATACATATACCGGTATTAAAAAATTGAAAAATAATTTTTTTTAATTTTCGAAAATTAGATGAGAAATTCATTGTACATCTGTAAGATTGGAGATACCGTACTGGATTCTTTGGAAGTGTTGTCTTTAAAAAGTAATTTTTAAATGTATATTTTTTTACATTTTACGTATGTATGTGAAGTTTCATGATGATCGGATAATAACTGTAGAAGTTTTTCCGGAGGGTAGTCGGTCCCCTTAACGGTGGTTGATAAATGGCCACCGTAATGACGGTTAAGACTTTTATTTGGGAACATTTTCACCCAAAACGAAGAACGCAACAACTCGATGATATATGGAAAATTTTTGTGAAAGTTTTCATCAGGCATAACTAATGTAGGTGGCGACATTTTTGAGAGGGCTAGACAGGAGAGGATAAAAATTTTAGGTTATACTCAGAAAAATGAGCGAGACTTTTATCAAGTAACTGTGCACTTTTTATTCTTGTGTTCGTCATCCTGACTTAGTTTGGCTACTTAAAAAGCGTATCAGTGCTACGTCCGTTCTCTAACTGCCAGTGTTTGGGTGAGGAAGTACATCACTACTTGGACAATGTGACCAATTCATTCTTCCGGGTGTATGTTGTTTTTAGGACCCAGAAATCTGGGCAGCCACTATGTTAATGCGAATTAGAATAAAATTAATTTTGACTGAGCCTGTTAACTGAAAAGTTATTGATCCATCTAACGAAATGAATTAAAATAGATAAGATGTTCATCTAAACGCTTTGTATAACACCAGTATAATGCGATTTGAATGACTTACAAGCATAGGAAAAATCATTAATATTAGTTGCTGATTATTCCCCTTCCTGTTTTATGCTCACTTACTGATTATATATAAACTCTAGGCACAATAGCGCCAGCATGCAGACACATGACGTACAATACATATACATGACGTACAATACATATCCATGACATACAATACATACTATACATGACGTACAATACATATACATGACGTACAGTTTGATTGAAGACTAGAGCATGGTTTTTATTAATAATCTTCTTCGCTTTTCAATGAGCCGAACCAAATTTCTTGCTGGCGATAGCTGAGGCCCTCATTATCAAGAGCGAGTCTCCAGCTATCAACCTCCAAACTACAGGATTCGTCAGGACGCTGAAATTATTTTCAGAGTAATTTTAAGCTAATATTTTAAATTGTATCCACTATACCATTAATATGTACTACTGTCATTTCCAAAATTCAATTTCAAGTGTTGTAAAACCTTTACCAGCTTGATAATGAAAATTGTATTTTCGAAACGTCGCAACCTATTAAAATGTCTTTTGGAAACCTGCTTTTTGATCTCAAGGCGCTAGCAAGAAATTTGGTTCGACTCATTGAAAAGACGAACTAGAAGATTATAAATAAAAAACATGCTCAGGTCTTCAATCAAACTTGCATAAAAGAAAAGCTTCTGCCGAACTACACCAATGACGTACAATATATATACATGAAGTACAATACACATACATGACGTACAACACACATACATGACGTACAATACACATACATGACGTACAATACATGTACAATACATTGGACACTGACCTGTCGAGCCCCAGTCAGGATGTGCCAAGTTGTTGTACCAGCCATCGTAGCGCTGCTTCTCTATGTAGCTCGATGGCACGTCTGCAACATAACAATAAGCATTAAAATAACCATTCAACTTCTGCAAGAATAAACCTGGCAAATTGTTGGGACGTTACGTAACCTTGAGTAAAAAAAAGTGAATAGATGGCGAGTCAATATAGATTATAAATTTTGTTATATAGTTCTAACAACGAAAGTTGTTAGAACTATGCTTATAACTAAGTTCTTAGCATATATATTGTTATATAGTTCTAAGAACGAAAAATGAATTAAGGAGAGCGAAATGATAATTTAATATAATGTATGACATGTACTAATTATTTGAAGCGCATCTCAATATTAATAGAAAATTTTCCTAATAATTAATATTTCAATATCTAAATACACCATATATATGCACAAATTATTGAATATTTTTTTCTCTAGAGCAAAATGATTCTTTTGAATTCGAACAATATGAATTGGAATAATGATGATATATTTCGCGACATGATGAAATTAATCAGTAATGTCATGAATAAATGAATGAAATTAGTTGCATTAATGATGTGTCTGTAAATAATGTCTTCAATTTACATAGGTTACTTCAAAAACGGTTCGGTTATATTCATAATGGTGAAATATATCAATTCAATCAATCATCAGGTAAAATATACCAATTAGTCAGACGTTATATGCAGGACATAGCTAAAAAGAAATGATCACGAGCGTGCGTTAGTAGGTAATTAAATGGTAGCTGATAAAGACTTCAAAGCAGTTCATATTGTAAGTAATTAAATGGTAGCTGATGAAGCGTTCAAAGCAGTTCATATTGTAAGTAATTAAATGGTAGCTGATAAAGACTTCAAAGCAGTTCATATTGTAAGTAATTAAATGGTAGCTGATAGAGCGTTCAGAGCAGTTCATATTGGTAAGTAATTAAATGACAGCTGAAAATTAAAAAAAAAGTTAATTGAAGCAGTTCTGTTCAATATCAAATGGAAGCATTCGCCAATTAATTCATATACTAAATAACTCAGTAAATTAATTTAATGTTCGTTGGAAGACACATCACTTACAAACATGCAAGTAAAGCAGCTAATTCATCGACGATTTGCGATTTCTTAACAACCATTCATAATTAAAACCGATATTATTTTAATAAAGATTATGATACATTATTTTAGACAAAAATCATGTTTGAAAAATTGTGCGTTTGCGCGTTGTTTCTAACTAATAGATGTTTAAGATCAAATAAATCTTAGGCAATCATTTTAAAGTAAATCAAATAATAAAAATATTCAGTTTCAAATTAAAAAGAAAAAGTTGAGCGTTTAGAGATCTGAACGGCAAAACAATGTACTTCAAGCGACCCAAACCTTTTGCGACTTCATCGTGAAGTTAATAAACAAGTTACGTAAACAATAATAACTATGAGCGTAATAAATGACCTATTTCAACGCATAACGCACGTGATATCGCATTAGTATCATCAATACATGCACGATAATACTAATGATGCCTTTGAACAAATCAATAGGATTAGTATCATCAATACATGCACGATAATACTAATGATGCCGTTGAACAAATCAATAGCATTACTATCATCAATACATGCACGATACTACTAATGATGCCGTTGAACAAATCAATAGCATTAGTATCATCAATACATGCACGATACTACTAATGATGCCGTTGAACAAATCAATATTGTGTTGGTAATAAGACTCGTAAAAACGAGGCCAAGTAAGGCAAGCGAGTGGAGCTGGACTCTCTCTCCTGGACGCATTGATTGCAATAGGTCGAACACCGCGGCTTCTGTACGTCTTAGACGAGCTCAACTCAAGGACTCCACCACACCCAAGAAAACCTATACATGCAGAGGCTAACATTCTCTATTTGAATAGATTTTGTCAGAAAAAAGGGGAAAGTAGTGTAGTGTAGTATGGAAGAAATTAGATATGATATGCCAATGCAGCGGTTAACGTTCTTTATTATAATACATTTTGTAAGGAAAAAGGGGGAAGTAGTGTATTGTAGTGTGGAAGAAATTAGATATGAAATGCCAGAAAAATGTGGGGGGAAATCTTCCGAGTATAGCACAGCTTTACGCGTCAAAGATATATACCCACAGATGCTTCTTCATTGCTAGTATCAATGATAAGCATCATTAAAAAGCCAGATATATTCGAAATTTTTTGAAACAGCAACAGTCTGGAACGCAATGTATCCACTTACAGTTGAAAATAAACCGAAAGATATTTCGCTGTTGAAAGTAAAATTACGAGCACATGTATAAATGTTAGAACAAGTACGCTACAGACATCGAAGTTACCCTATTTTGGCTACGATAAATGAGGGACTATAGGAAAGCAATTGTTGGAATGACGTCTGGACTTATTACTTGGAAAACAGGAGAGAAATTAAAGCTATCAAGGCTTCAAATACGGATGAGTTCTAGCTTTATTTGGGCCGCAAAGGATGGAGGCTCATTACATTTAATGTTGCAGCCGATGGCCCATGCGAGGAGGCCTAGCTTGCAACCCACCATCAGGGATGCCGTGAGGGATTGGTAGTTCCTCAGGGACGGCCATGAGCAGAGAAAAAGAGGGGGTAATGAATAATGCGGCTATGAATAATGAGGAAATGAATAATGAGGAATTGAATAATGAGGAATTGAATAATGAGGAATTGAATGAGGAATTGAATAATGAGGTAATGAATAATGAGGTAAAATGAGGAAATAAATAATGAGGAAATGAATGATGAGGAAATGAAAATGAAGTAATAAATAATGAGGAAACAAATGAGGAAATGGATAGCCAGTCAAGCGTCGAGGGTTTAGTTATCCCTCAGGGCAAGCCATCAATAGTAAGATGGATAAATAATTCCGGGTATTCTCAAGGAAAAATATGGTAAGGAATGCAAGCAGGAGAAATTTTTCGACTCTATCGCATAAACAAAAACGCAAAAGGGAGAAATCTCGAAGTTAAAACTGCGAGTGTTCAGGGTAAAAATCGAGGATTGCTCATCCACTGGGCTCTCAGTAGTCAAAAAATAATTGCGGATCATAAAAATTATCAAAACCAGGCAAGAGAAACTGGATGAAGAACACGCTGATCACCTGATGCGCGTCGTCCGGCAATAAATGTAAGAAATAAAACTGAAATGTAACAATTGCTGCGAGGAAATTTGACCATATAATATTATTTATTTAGCAATGAGATTAATTTTTTTAAAAAAATATTAACTCTTGTAGAAGCGATTTCCTCCATGCAGCATGCATTGCCTCCATATGGAATGGTTTCGCACTGCTACTAAAGCGAATACTTAGCACGGAATTCATGTAAATCATTTTACTGCACCAAACGAATGAGCGACTTTCGTCGTGTTACGAATTTTCGAGAACTTCATTCTCCGTGTTTGTGATGCGCCACAAAACCGAAGTGGTTACAAAATGCAGAGGCTGAGACGGGCACCGGGCAAGAAAAGAAGATTGTAATCAGCCGACGGTCCGTTGAGGCTCTTGAAAGTGCGGGCGTTATCTTCGATCCGAGAAAATAGCTTGAGGATGTGGAGTCGCAAAAAATTCCCACCTGCCGAGTTTTAAAAATATAACTTCCTAATTTCCATTCGATCAAAATTCGATAAGTTGATTCGTTAACATTTTAGCCGGAAGAAATAAATTTTTAAAACAATCCTCTTCGGGAAACCCTGGAAAATATTTCGTGACCTCTCGACAGATGGCGAGTCAAGAACTGTTAAGCCTATAGCATTGTAAGCAATGAGCCCGAGCGTCCGCAGCCAGAGTAGGCTCTCGAGGCGGCCTAACAAATCATGCCAGCACAACCGAAACGAAAAAAAATGCCGGTGGAAAAATTCATCCAATGCTGGTCTTCAGAGCACCTGCTGTGACAAAAGACTCCCATTCCTCTTGCTCAGCTTGTGACAAATTGTAATGAAAAAACCAGCGACGAAAAAGGAAGAGGTGAGTCGACGGTAATTAGTGTCACCCTCACAAAAGGCGATGGCAAAAGAATGAAAACAAATCGCCGTTCACAATTTCGCCAACAAATATTCTGATAAGAGCGTGTGTCCGCAAATGTAAATATTTATTGCTGCATGACGCTTTCGACACGCCCTCATTCCTGGATATACACAAACACGCAGTCATTGTCGTGTAATCGTGTTTGGAATCACTTGATCAAGAGACGAAATTGAGTCCCAAGCATGTCGTGATGAGTCGCTTTCACTCGACGCAAAGTTCTTGGGCACATTCCTGGAAGCCGAGCCTCTTACAGCAGCAGTAGCAGGAGAAAGCTTAATGATTAAGGTCCAACCTGCCAATCGTCTTAGCGTAAATTGGAAACATTCGGCACTAAAAAAATCACAGCGATCGGCTGGATCGGTCTCAGCATGCCACTCAATTCTCGCGTTAATTGAGGTTTTTGAGGCAGAGAGAACGCAATCCTGTGAGGCCTGGTAGCCTCACATTGGCTACGATTGGTAGCCTCACATTGGCTACGATTGGTAGCCAATGGCTCTTTATGGCCATTTATGCATATAGCCTTTTATGTGTACAATACAGTATGATACAATGTACAGATTCACTGAGAGGTTAAAAATATTTTCTAATTTTGCTTGTTTGTTATACCTGAAATCAACATCTTTATTTCTAAATAGAGGTAAGAGATTCTTTTAATAGATTACTAAGGATTTTATTGTAATTGAGTCAGTTCCACGTCGCCCAAGCGATAGTGAAGAAGAAAACTTCTGTATCAAAGTACAACGCATTCAAATGCAATATACGAGTTATATATATATAACTTTAGACTTCATACTTAAAAAAAGGAAGGCGATCGCAAAATCATCACTGAAATTTTATAGCCGGGCCAGAAATTATGGCAAACGCCAGATCTGCTCCCACAAACCCAGTGTGCAATTAGTGGCTTAAAAATCCTTGACTTAGAACTTTTACTCGCCGAGCCTGCAGAGCCGACGAGCAGGTAGGCCTATCACAAGGACTCAAATAAAGTGGCGTCATATGTCTTATCTTATCAGGAATATTCAATGCTAAACATGCGCGACTGTCGAGCACATTAAAGGAAAGGCAAGACATGCACGACAGTCGAGCGCATTAAAGGAAAGGCAAGACATGCTCCAGACTAATCCTGCGTCAAGGCTCAGCCACACGTATGCTCGTGTTCCAGGAAGCCTGGAACAGCAACGCTGGTCACGGAAAGCGAGGGCAGACGTGCGTGTTAGGCACCGCTACCATCAATTAGAGGCACTGCAACACGGCCTTCGTCTTAGCTAATATCTACAACACGCGGCAGTGCAATGCTAAGTCATTAGCAGAGCAATGCAGAGCGCGGCAGTGCTCTACAACACGCTGCAGTCAGCAGTGCTATATCAAATGCTCTGTCAAGTGCTCTGCGGTTCAAACTGTCGGTGCCTTCTTTGCAGTAGATAAGTCTGATGTCACTAAACGCGAAATTGGCAAATAAATGTAATAATTACGTTGGCGTTAAGCTTTTAAAATTAATCATTACAAACGAATACAATTCTATTGTAGAGATACTTAAATAGAGAACGAAAAGTATTACTCTAGCATAATAACTACTATGACACAACAGGGAACTACAGTTAATTAGAAACAATATATCGGGAAAAATATCAATAAAAATATATCATATTTTGTCTGGAGGACTAGAGTTCGACTATGAGATTAAAACTGAATCATTTGCATCTCTTACAGCCCACTGCCGTATGAGTGTAACGCTATGATTAATGGTTGACGAAGCGAACACAGTCTTATGAGAACTGATATATGAAGACCTTGAAGACGTTTAACATCTTCAGGCTTGGTGGTTAAGCTTGATGCATGAGTAAGATGAGCTCTGTGGTCAAGGTTCTGTATAATGAGAGTTAAAAACATATTAACGATTGTAACTGAACTTCCACTGAGAAGGTTAGATTTATACCAAAATCAAAAATTTTGCGGTAAATTCGACATGAGTGTGGCAACATTTTGAAGGATTTAATTGCGGATTTATTTGTTATAGGATTTCAAGTTTAACGCTAAAAGCTCGCCACGAACAAACCTATATAGCTGGAACGTGAATTTGCGGTTAAGGTGAATCTTACGGTCATCGTAGAAGCTTCTGAAAATGCAGTAGGTACCTAGCTGCAGTGCGACATCTGCACGGCCGGTAAAACTTTCCATCGCGAAAAGAAATGCGCGGTGAGCGCAATTGGTGCTCGCTCAAAAACAATAGGCAAGTCATCAATATAATAGGTACGAAGTGAGCACCTCAGGTCGAGAGTGAGAGCTGGCAGGATCTGTAGAGTACCAGCATATCTTCATGAATATTAATGTCTTCCTGAGACAAATAAAGAACAGCCCATTCTAACTCGCAACAAACAGGCGGGCGGAAAAAAGCAAAGCGCTTTCGCTGTGAGGCCTTCCTAAATTATAGACCTTCTATCCCGAGCGCCGATAGCATCCACTGGCATTATTCAGGTGTGCAAATTACAACACCGTTAATAATAGGCGGCACAGACATGAGACCTAAACAACTGAATCTTATTCAATGAGATATTCAAGTTAGTGCTCATATTTTGAAATAAGATGCCTCTCTCTGTAAGAGACGAGGCGGTTACATTTGTATTTAAAAATTCAGTAAAGGCTGAGTGGCTCAACATCCTCGCCGCGCACTGATGCGTGGCTTGCTGATGAGGAGGACAAATATTTAAATTCTATGCATTTGCATTCATCAGTAGAAAAATGAGTTAATATTTTTCTGTTAAAATAATACTTGGAGGCCATGAAGTACGGCAATTATGGAACACAGTTTAGTTACCAGCAGAAAGTTTACCTTGTAATTCAACACACATGAGGTGTTAGTTATAGTATTATAAAGAACCAGTATTTTTAATCATGCTGATCTTCTTTTTGCTAATCAGAATTTTTAATGTTGCTGGTGATTAATAATAATTAATTAATGTTGCTGGTGATTTTAATGTTGCTGGTGATGATAAAAAATTCATTCATATTCACAGGCTGACACATTTAAATGAGTTTGCTAGAGTGACATTAGAGAGGTCGTAGGTAATTTGAATAGCTCTTACAACGTTTTCATTGTCACATAGAAGCATATACAGACGTTATATAGCTTCAGTAATTAATGAAGCGCACATAGCGGGTTAGTTACAGTTATTTGGGTTATATAGCTTCAGTAATTAATGAAGCGCAAGCGCACATAGCGGGTTAGTTACAGTTATTTGGGTTATATAGCTTCAGTAATTAATGAAGCGCACATAGCGGGTTAGTTACAGTTATTTGGGTTAGTGTACAGCCGACGCGTAAAAATGTTATCAAGCAAGGCTGATTATTTTTAAGAAGCACTTATAAAAATACTGAAGGAAAAAGCCCCGAGGTTACACAATGAAGCAGCGTACGTGCATGAGTTTGTTACGATGGTACTTACTGAAAGGTATAGAAGGTCTCTCTACTGCGGGGGGTCAGGGGGGGGATGGGAAGAAATAAATAAGGTTACAGGGTGCATAACACAAAATAATAATAAAGATTAGGAAGAAACAATGGATGCTATCTACACATTTATGTTTTATTATATTTATATGATTTGGCGCTGCTGAGAATGATCGAAATGCTGAGAAAAAAGCCTCAGTCCTCGCTATTTAAAAATTTCCTCGCTATTTAAAAATTTTTAAAAAATTTTAAAGCCTCGCTATTTAAAAATTTCCGATGTTCTATTCGTAAAGATTACCGAAGATCAAATGGGATTCATGACATGCACCTCTTTATTAGAGGATAATAGATACAATAAAATAGAATAACTCGTGTACTCAATTAAGTGACATTTCAGAGCAAACGCCAAATCAATCTATTACCATTATAATTTAGCGAATAACAACAACTATTGCTACTCAGAACTGTTGTGTTAAAAGAAAACCAACATCACCCCCTTAATAGAAGTGCGTCAAAACTAAATACCAAATTATTTACATTTATTCAAAGGTGAATTCATAAATTATTTACACACAATAGTAGTAAATTCACGTAGATAAGTAACTGCGAGATCATGAAATGACTAGCCATGTTATTGATTCCATAACTTTATTATAATTACAGTGGGAAGAGCAAGAAGGAAATTTATGCACACATCAAAAACACGAGAAAGATTTAAAGTCATAAGAAAATAAAAATTCATGTCTGGAGAAGACAACATGAATTCATGTGTAAAGAAGACGAATAAATTTAGGCATAAAAAAGGATGAATTTAGGTTGGAGAAGGTAAAGAATTTAGGTATAGCAGAAGGAAACAACAAATCGAGAATATAGTATAACTAATAAAAAAATAATATTGAAGAGCTTACTTATATTACAAAAACACAAACAGGCTTAAAACAGATATTACATCGAAGTCTTGAACATTGCAACAAGTCAAAGTCTCAGGTTTAAAGTTGATTAAGTCAGGTGATGGGTAGGCCGTGCTGAGGCGTCACTGGCTGAGAGATGGATGGTTGTCAGGATGAAAATTATTTAATAAATAATGTAAGTTTTCAGGTATAGCTAATGACCGAAATAATCTGACATTATTGCAAGGAGAAGACAAAAGCTAATCATTGTATGCTAAATCACCAAAATGGACTACATGCAAATCAATCATGTAAAAGAGTGAAGTGAATTAAATAAAAAATGTTTAGATGGAAGTACAACTGACCACGTCGAATTCAATTAGAAAATTCGCAGGAAATTAAAGAAATACAAAGAAAAGTGCAGCAAACGATTTTATTGTTTGCATTATATACATAAATTAATTGCACTATATAAATAACTTTCACGATATTAATGGCATATATACCTCAAAACTTCTCGTTTTGTTTCATAAAGAAACGTGAAGAATACACGAGGAAATGACGCAGCTAAATTCTTATTCAGACTAAAGACAGCAAAAACTGTTGCGGTGCTTCCGGAAGACCAGGCAAGACACCGCGGCCTTGGAGCGTCGCACAGCAGGGCCATCGCTGCATAGATACTGCCATGGATGTATGGTTAGGTGGCGAGCCTAACCGTTATTATCTACAGCCATGGATGTATGGTTACGTGGCGAGCCTAACCGTTATTATCTGCAGCCATGGATGTATGGTTAGGTGGCGAGCCTAACCGTTATTATCTACTGCCATGGAAGGATGGTTAGGTGGCGAGCCTAACCGTTATTATCTACTGTCATGGATGGGTGGTTAGGTGGCGAGCCTAAGCGTTATTATCTACTGTCATGGATGGGTGGTTAGAATATGGGCATTAATAAATTAACTTAGCTTTGAGTTTCGTCAGAGTATGACGGACATTAATAATTTAACTTTGTTCTGAACTTCATCAGAGTATGACGGACATTAATAATTTAACTTTACTCTGAACATCATTAGAGGATGGCGGACATTATTATTTTTAAAATAATAATTAAATAATAATTTAATAACATTTCATGACAGAGGTAGCTCCCACTACAGGTATCCAGCCATTAATTTTTATTTCAACCTACAATGAAAATTAACTTCAACTGATACTACATCTTTCGGTAAAGTATTTGATTTCTAACGAGAAAAAAGTGTTCTGTGCATGAACAATGATTAAAATGCTTGCATATCGTCGTAACATGTCCATTAACATGACTACCGTACATCACGTCATAACATGTCCATTAACAAGACTGCATCACGTCATAACATGTCCATTAACATGACTACATCACGTCGTGACATGTCCATTAACATGACTACATTACGTCGTAACATGTACATTAACATGACTGCATCACGTCGTGACATGTCCATTAACATGACTACATTACGTCGTAACATGTACATTAACATGACTGCATCACGTCGTAAGTTAACATGTCCATTAACATGTCTGCACCCCTTTGTAACATTCACGTAACTGCATCTAATCAAGTCGTAACATGTTACATAATTTGTTAATATTTTCATTATTTGTCAAGAGTTATACGAAAAACCTTGTCTAAGTTTTAGCGCTTTGGCTATGCAAGCAACGGAGGAGGCGTTAGTAAACCTTTAAGTTGTACTTCACGGAGTTATTATGAAGTAAATAACATATTTTCACAGCGTAAAGTTTTGTTGCGTAATGCGTAGCATTTCGAGATCGGAAGGCAAATGCCAGCAGAATGCACGTGCTAATAAATGCTGCATTTAGTAGCCGCTGTCACATGCAGTGTTCTACTTTCTATTCGTGAACTAACCTAACCTTCCACTTTATTTCCACTACATGAAATTCTCCCGCAAATTTTCCAGTCGGTGCATCAATTTAAAGTGATATATAACCAGGAAATGTTTCGCCACATACAGACATCACTGATCAAAGGAGATTTAAGAACCTCGGTTGGCACATATATTACATTATTTAGTAGCATTAATGCGATGACTTGTAGAAACATGCTCAATAAACTGCCTACAATATCGACCTGCGAAGTTGCGATGCCGTTCATCGTCGTGATCAACGTAGCACGCACGACTCTAATTGCCGCGCTACAATGACAGACGATGAAGGGAGGAGCAGTTCGACGGTGAGGCATGCTTGCCGTCAAATATCTTAAGTTAAAGTTCGCAATTATAGCAGCAAAATAACATGGACAAAAATTAGCCAAACATTCATAAGGGCTAAATTATTCTTTGGGCATCTGGGCTAGATTTTAATTGTTTCCGTGAATCACCTTTTAACTAAATTAAACAGAGAAATATATCTCACATGAATTTCAATTCTCATGTTCCGTCGCACGTTATATTGGTTCTCGTTAATTTGAAAATATTAATGAAATTTTACAAGAACCATCACAAAAGAGTTACGTGTACCAACCGGGTTAATTACTAACTCCGTGAAGCCGACTCCTCCCGTAAGATAGTCTTTAGTTGTCTGAATTTGTAAAAAGAAATCCATCGATTTGTCTTTATTATCGGTAAATCGTTTAATGCAAGCCATCAGAAGTCGATAAACAGGAAATGACGTAGCACGTAAGATCAGCCTATACGTAGGCCTGCTTCATTTCAAGCAAAGTCGGCGGAATGACATTGAACTTTAGAAAAAAACCTTAGCAGCGGCCACTGGCCCAGCGTAGGTGTTGCAAGACCCCTGCATATGCTCCCATGTAATGGCCACACCGACTGCACACAACTCCGCAGCACCGATATCTCTAGTGAAACGTACCTCCGTGACACCGAAACTGGAAGAAATAGCTTTTTAACGTATTTTGATTTCTCAGGGCAAAATGACTTCATTAGTAATTCCTACATTTTAGGTAATGGACAAAATGTTTACTTCTAACTAGATGCAAAATTATTTAGAATAACTTTTATATAATAATTTCGAATTGTAAACTGTCTCATGACGTGCTCGGACAGGAGATGAGGAGGAAACTAGATCGACAAAACAAGACCTCGTGTCGCCAAAAGATCGATCAGATCGCTAACACAAGACGTCTTGCCGGCGACAAGAGATTGCTAAGATTCACATTCCACGAGAGAATACGTCTTGTCGACAAGAGATCGATTAGATCAACAAGACTAGACGTCTTGCCGACAAGAGATCGATTAGATCAACAAGACTAGACGTCTTGTCGACAAGAGATCGATTAGCTCAACAAGACTAGTCAAGACTAAACGTCTTGTCGACAAGAGATCGATTAGATCAACAAGACTAGACGTCTTGTCGACAAGAGATCGATTAGATCAACAAGACTAAACGTATTGTCGACAAGACTTATTACATCGTCGATGCTTTTCGATCGTCGCTCAGCGCCTCGTCTCTCGAGGAAACTAATTCAGGTCGCATGCCATTGTCTTGGGGATGGAAATAACTCCTAGAACCACTCTTTTCGAAGACAAGCAATTTTTTCTTAACCTCACGAGTCTTTCTCTAGCGATATTTCTTACGATATTCACGTAAATTATAGATTCATTCCAATTTTATTAAGCCTTTACGATTTTATATCATCGAGAGCTCCAATTTAAAAATTTCAATCCCCGTCTTTCAGAAACTCTTAAGCTCGCAATCGCCGCCTTCACGTATAGAATTAGAAGAAATAAAATGCTTGAGATCTTCTGGGCATGTACATGAAATCAGTGAAGCACTCAATGGAACTAAATTGAATGATGTCGTAAAATACTCGCATGTATATAGTACAGCTGAGGGAATTGTTGAGAGTTTGCAGAGCAAGGCTCGGATCATCGATCTGTTCACCAGGAAACTTTGCGAAGCTTGATGAGTTACTGAAATTAAAATTAGAATTCAAAGTGAAATCTGATTACACATTTGAGAAAGCATTTGTTCTCATTGCGCTCATGTCATCAAAAGGTTAGTAAATGGTCAGTAATAAATGACAATAAATGATCAACAAATTCGATAAACAAACCTGCTGAGGGAGTTAACCTCTGTTGAACCTTTTTTTATACACGAGGCTTGCAATACTTTGTA